CACAAAGGGCACCAAACTAGCAGCATTTATATCTGGACAGTCATTTAACAAGTGATCGGGTTATGTAGAATAATATATGATCTGAAATTCTATCCTGTAACCTGTATTTAGCTAGTATGATCAGTTGTAGATTCCCTGGATGTGTGATTCCTTAGATCACTAACGTAAACAGATTCTGTTCATAACATGTTTATTGCCACGACTTCACCATGTTCTCTCCGTAATATTAGTGCGTTGTTTAAAATCATGGTCCAGTTGCTAAAAGTGAGATATAATATGATTTGCCATTAAGCTGCTATTTAGTTTGAACTATATATGACCTGTGATTATGTTTCGTTTTTTTTCACTCAGATATTCAACCACATTCTGGGTCAATATACAGCACAGGGTTTGTATATCTTGACTTGGCAATATGTATATTTTCGCCTAATATTATCGTTATAAACAATACGCTGTTACGATGTATATTTTATATTATTGTGTCCTGAAGACATGTCTACTGTACAGAAAACTATTCTATTCTTAATTTTGTTGAGTTTATTTCGAGCAACAAATCTAGAACTACACTATTTTAGTTTTAGTCACCATGACGTCACACAGTTTATTGTGTCAATCATTAATTGAACACATGTTTATCAGCCTTATATCTATCCAGTGATATACAAAGATGATATCTCGGGTACACCACCCATCCACCCACCAACCCACATACATTTGTAGTTTAGTGTCACACATTGGAATATGAAACCTAACTCTGATTGCAGGCTATCAGTTTATACTATGATAATAATTAAATACATAGTTTCTTCTCTATAAAATAAACACGTGATCACTAGTTGATAAAAATAAAATTATTTGCATACATACTAAATGCACTCTTAATATATACTAAATTTGTCATACATACCAGGTATTTTCTTGTATTCTTTACGTGTTTTTATATCTCCTGGTATTTACAACAAATATATAAGGATTATACAGCCATGAGTCAAACCTATCTAGACCTATGACCTGACGACGGAAAATGAAGCACTCACCACAGCAGACCCAGATTGAATTGTAAGTTACTTACACTCACGCCGTTGTTAGGATCAGTGTTCCTTTTCTGCTCGGAATGAATCGCATTGTTATTAATCACTCCCGACCTATGTCTGACGACAAAAGAAGAATTATTCACCCTCTAAAATGTGAGCGGATCTTGGGGGGAAATGGCGAAACTACGCACTGCTATCAGGTAACATGTAACTATGTTGAAAACATTTTAAACACTCAAATGTTTTCATATCACCTGGTATTTACAACAAATATAAGGATTATACAGCGGTGATTCAAACCACTCCCGACCTATGACATATTCTGTCTGACGACGAAAGAAGAAGCAAATAAGCATTCACTACAAGCTGACCCAAGCTGAGTTGTAAGTTACTTATTTTGACACTCACACCGTTTTTCATATCAGTGTTTCTTTTCTACTCGAAATAAATCACATTCATATTTATCAAAACGATTACATATAAAATTAGGCAACTGTATGTTTGATGGGAAACTGTAATTTTTGGAAACATATGTCCGAAAGTTAAAACG